CCAGAGGAGCTGGAGGAAGTGTCTGGAGAGAGGGAAGTCTGGGCATCTTTGCTTAGACTGCTGGCCCGGTGACCCGGTCCCGGATAAGCGGAGGAAAATGGATGGATGGATGGAATATCTATGACTGCTCCTATAACACAAGGCCAATAAAATATCAGTCACAGCCTTAGCTTCAAATAATGCTAAATGAAGTACATTTTATTGTTGTCATTTTTAGTACATAACAATCATAGAAACATAAGACTTCTCAAGCAAACATCTACTCAGAAAAAACATATGTACAAACACAAGTAGAGAAATCGAAATGTACAAAACATTTAGTGCGACCTGGTAGGGAAATTTGGAGACCAGTTATATATATAAAAACCAAACAAACAAAAATAAAAACTTTTTTCTTTTGTAAGTAAAATTTGAACTAAACAACACATTTTTCAGGTCTGCCAGAACAGTAGGTGAGTCTAGTGAACAGGACAAACAATGAATGAAAGATAATTTCAGTCTATGACACAGCTAGGGGCAGTGTTAGGTCACCACAAAATAGTAACTAAGAGCGGCTTATTCGTTTGTTCCCAATGTCACAAAAGGAAAAAGCAAAGTTTACTTTCTCAGAATTCTACTATTGTCAGTTGACTTTATGCTGAAACGCCCATAGTACGTTAAGGAGAGGATGACCTCTATCCTCAGGTCATATCAGGATAAAGAGATGGTCATTACACAAGGTGTTAGCTGGGAGTGTCACCTAAGAATTCTGTAAAAAAAAATGAAAGGGTGCAGCACTACATAGTAGTGTTTTTACCTTCCATCTCCTCTAACAATCATTTTAAGATGCAACTCCACAGCTCCTGGACTGGAAGCTACTGTAGATGCAAAGGAACGGTCCCCCTGCATGCCATAAAACACCTCCCTGAGGAGTGACAGGGCATAAGCAGTCATAGCCCAGCAGCCCACCCTGATACTGACCACTACATTGACACTAGTAGAGACAAGGTGAGAGCGTTGATGAAATCTCCACTGCTACCGATAGTCCAGAAATGCTTCTGTTTAGTTCAGTGAGGGACATTATGCAGACTCGACAAATCAAACTTCTACCTGTCATCTGGTTTTATTCTGTGTTGGAAACTGCAGAAAGGTGCAGTGTCCAGACTCAACAAGACAGGCAAAATGTAGGAATGTTTGCATGGAAGTCATATAAAATAGCAGCTGGTAAACATAGCTTAGTACACCCAAGGTGATGTTTAAAAAAGGTATCTGTGTTTTCCACAACTATGCACAATACAGAACAAAACAAATTATAAAGGGCAGTGAGAGGCTGATTCTCTATCAAACAATTTCTTAAAATGAATGCAAAGAAGCTTCAGAATTGAAGGTATCATGGCTGGCAGTAGAACTGGAGGTAAGAGTCCTTTAGAGTCAGTTAGAAGCTACAGCTGAAATAGAAACCTAAAATTTTACTCTGCTCATTTAGTTTGTAAATAAGTAAAATTGCCATGCATTAAATACCACCCATATATTATAAATATCCATAGTAGCTACTCTAAATGTTGTATTTGACACACACATTCCCTACAAAACAGGTCACTTGAAGTGCTTTAGAGACACTACATTCTTATTCATAATACTCATGTGGAAAGTAGTCAATTATCACAATTCAATCAAATCAGAACATATCACTACTGTTGAGCAATTCTTAATCAGCTGTTGTTGGCCTAAATAAATATCAGTCAAAAGGTTAAAATTCCTCTTTCTCTGTTAAATGGTCTGAATAATGAATTAAATTCCATTACCATAACTGGCCACACTATAGACATGTAGATGGTCTGTATTATATAAGAGGGGGTGGCACATTATGTGAGAAGGTAGGACAGAAAGAGAGTGGGGGAAAAAAACTAAAAAATGAGTTCAGAGCAATAAAAACAATAAATAAAAATAAACGAATTCCCTTCAACATTTTACTTTTTTTCTTATCTACTCTTTAAATGTTAGTTTTTAGGAGAGTGTCCCTAAGTCTTTGAAATGAAAGACTTGGTTTCTTCATATA